ACTGCTAACCAAATCAAAAATAGATTCTTCTCTCATTTTGCTGATTTGGTAGAGAATCAACCAACACAACCTATTCAAACTCATTCTGTTTTTATTCCTGTTAATTCAGGATTTACTGTTATTGCAAATTCACCTATATTTTATTAGTAAAATAAATGTTATTTCATTCAATTAAATAGTATTATTGATATTCGTTGTTATTATCTTTTTTATTAAAATATGTTTCAAAATAACTTCTTTTTTTTCCTTTAAGTTAAAACAATTCACTATTTTAACTGAGTTATTTCATTATATTCATGAAAATTGGTTTATTATTATTTTTTCATGAAGTTGAACAAAAGAAATACTCAAAAACTTTCTTTTTAAAATTTTTTTCTTGTGAAAACAAATTATATAAACATTTTCTTTTTCTTTTCTTCTTCATATTCATTAATTGTTTTTTATTTATAACTTCAATGTTTTGAAAATCATCAGAAAATATTAACAATAACCATTATTTCAGAAGATATTTTGGTTGTATCTTTTCTTTAGTTAACACTTTATTATACTTCCAAATTTGATAAAGGGGTTGTAAAATGGAGTTGTATAATAATATAAAAGTTTATTCATATTTTTATTTTATAAATATTATTCTCACTTTAAAATAAACATTATTATTCAATTGATTGTCTTTTATATTATTCTTCCTTTTTCTTTCAACCTCTTTCAACCTCTTTCTTTTATAAAATACATTCAATTATATTATTATCCTTTTTAGTTATCAGTTATTTTAACTTCAATCTTACCATCTTCATATCCTATCTTAATTTTACTCTTCTCTTTCATCACTCCTCCTATTATTGATTTTGTTATTTCTGTAACAACTGTCTTTTCAATATATCTTCGCATTGGTCTTGCTCCATATGCTATTGAATATCCTGCTTTAATGATTCCTTCTATTGCTGCTTCCGTCATTTCAACTTCACTTCCTGGATATCTCTTTTTAATGACTTTAATCACTTCTCCCATTTGTAATTTAACTATTTCTTTCAATTCTTTCTCTGAAAGTGGTGAAAATACTATAATATCATCCATTCGATTGAGAAACTCTGGTTTAAACGACTTCTTCACTATTTCCATGACTTGTTCTTTAACTTGTTCATCAACTTGTCCTGTTGTTTCTACTCCTTTCATTATTATTTCACTTCCTAAATTCGATGTCATAATCACAACCGTATTCTTAAAATCAACTGTTCTTCCTCTTCCATCTGTTAATCTTCCTTCATCCAATAATTGTAATAACACATTAAATACTTGTGGATGTGCTTTTTCAATTTCATCAAATAATATTACACTATATGGTCTACGACGAATTGCTTCTGTTAATTGTCCTCCTTCTTCATATCCAACATATCCTGGTGGTGCTCCTATCAGTCTCGACACACTATGACTTTCCATATATTCACTCATATCTATTCTAACTATATTTTCCTCTGAATCAAACAATTCAGCTGCTAATGCTTTTGCTAATTCTGTTTTACCTACTCCACTTGGTCCTAAAAACATAAAACTTCCTATTGGTCGTTTTTCATTTCCTAATCCTCCTCTACTTCTAATGATTGCATCACTAACTGCTGTCACTGCTTCATCTTGTCCTATTACTCGTTTATGTATTTCACTTTCTAAGTTCAGTAATCTTGCTTTCTCACTTTGATTCATTTTAGTAACTGGAATTCCTGTCCATCTACTCA